CGGGCCCGGGAACCACACCCGGGACAGCACCCACGACCGCCATACCAGGGAGCGCTCCTGAGCCCCCGTCACTTCCTGAGGGTGGAAAAATGGCTGACACATGCCCTTCCCCACTCTGCGGCGGTACCCAAGCTGCCACCAGAGATGACTCCGACCCCACGCCAGGCTCAAAGCGATGAACCAAGTCATGCAAACCCAATAACAGATCCCATATCCCTGAATACACTCCAACCACCGCCAGAACGGCGTCCACCACCCACGGGGTGGATGCCTCCTTACCAGCATTCCCCCCAAACTTCCCGCAGTGTGAGAGCCCATCCCCACAACCTGACCTAACACATCCCACAAAACAGAACTCACAGACATAGAAGACAAGACAGACATACACTCACCAGGCTGCCCAGGACTGGGCCCAACAGCAGCCACACCAGACGCCCATGGTCCGCATCAACCTCGGACCCAGAAACACTCGCCATCCTCCGCAGCATGCCGCACGATCAGGGACTGCACCCCAGGGTCACCAGACACGGTTGCTGAGGGCCTGTGTTGCTGGGACTTTTTGTTCTTCCTGGCACGCTCTACCTAATCACCAGGCCTACCCACCGATGTCCTGGTCATCCTGCTGGCGCACCCTCTGGCCTGAGCGCCTACTGCACAGTCCCCACTGCTGGTCCCAAAGTCACTGCAACTCACCAGGGAGGAAGGACCCCCGACCACCGCTGAGCACAGGCCCGGGATCCGCAGCTGTCACTTTCCCTCGCCAAGCAGACTCCCTGACCTGGACCACAGCAGGGGAGGTGGCCGCATGCCCCCGACAGCTCCGCAAGCAGGAGTGGGTGACACACTGGTGGCTCCACTCCCCCCCCCCTCGCAAGGCCCCGCCCACGCCAAGGATTGTTCCCAGGCTCCCCACTTCTGGCAGTCAGCAACTTTTCCTTGGGGGGCCTGAAGGGTCCCTGATGGGGCTCCTAAGCCAGTGCCAAGCCCTGGGGGAGGAGTTTGGGCTGAAGCCCTCCAGCGGCCGAGCATGTTAGAGCTCCTACCCCCTCTCAGGCGAACCCGGTTCCCGCTCCTCCAGGATTGACTCTAGCCGAGCCTGCAGCCATCTAGTGCCCCGATCAGAAGCAGTAGTCCTGATCTGAGAGAGAAGCTCCTCCAGCGCATCCATCCCACCCAGCAGACTAGCTTCACCTCTTCCAGGCTCCAGAAGCTTCTTCTTCTTTCAACTTCCCCAATGGACTTCCTGAGGTTTGACACTCCTTTTCCTCCCTGTGAACCCTCCCCAACATCCCCATCCAATAAGGTTAGCCGTAATCCCAAAATTTCCTACCCATCTTTTAATCCTATGCTGTTCCTCTATTCCCCTAATTATGTCGTCCCTGCGCTAATTTTTTTTTTTTTTGCTCTTGGCCTACCTTTTCTGCCTGTAAGGGAATTCCCGTGAGATGGCTGGTGAATAGACGTGTGCATGTGCACGGAAATGCACGAACACACACATGCACACGCACGGTGAAGATTGGCGCAAGATGGACTATTTAAGAGGTGCCTCTGCCTGTGCTGAGTGCTGACTGGTCTTCACCTGTTCCCTGTTTCCTGCTCATTCCTGTGTGATTTCCTTGTTGCTGACCCGGCTTGTTCCTGACCTGACTCTGATTACTTTCCTGCTTGATACTGGTTCCTGACTTCGGCTTTGCTCCTGACTTTAGCTTGCTTATGATTTGGTACCTCGCTGTCCGCCCATTGATGACCCTGGCTATTCCTTTGACACTGCTTCTGTCTCCTATTCCTGATTCCTGCCTTGCTCTGGTGCACACCTGGTGATCTACCATACCAGCTCTGCATATTACTACTGTGCCTGAATCAGAGGTTCATCAGTCTTCCAAAGTCTCCAACTGCAAGAGCTGCAAACAACATCTGCTGGCGCTAATGTCCCCCTGGTCCCTAGACTCCCTCTGTTCCACTTCCAGTGGGGTCAGGGCTAGTGACACAAGTGTTGCTGACCTCGTCATTTCAATCTCCAATCAGATACGTGACACTGCCCCTTGGATAGCTGCTGATCTCCTTCCTGGTCCCTCTTCTCTACTCTCCCTATTCCCAATGGGAAACAATCAGCTCCCACTCTCTTTCCAACTATGATCCAATTAGCTGAAATGCTACTACTGATCAACTTATACATGTGTAGTGAAGTCTTTCTTTATCCACTTCATTTAGTAGTAATTTCAGGCTGCTTTAATTTCTTTTCCCTCAATCCAGTGAAATCCTAAAATCCTTTGGGTTCCCACAAGCCCCTCAGCTTCTGGACATGTCAAAGAAATATAAGCTTCCCTGATTCCTACCCTAGTCAGTCCCAAGAAGTCCAGTCTGATGAGACAGAGGTGACTGGGCATGAGATCTGTTGCCAGGTGTTTGGTCCTCCTCCGCTTATTCTGGCATGCAGGCAACCAGTTGGGGACACAATAGCATACAGATTCAGGAGAAGACCTGGTCATTGCAGAAGGCACTGCTTCAACTGTTCGCATGGTGTTGAGCTTCCAGTGTGGTGGTCCTTTACCTACAGCCACTCACCCAGGCATCCAGACCAGAGATTCTTCATGCTGTTTGCCTGTGGAACAGGTCTGGGAACCCTCTTGCCAGTTGTCTGGACTATCAGGAGCAGTCTATCTCCTCGTGGGAGTAGTGTTGCCCAAAGGTTTGTACTTTATTGTTCTTATGGAGTTTCAGTCTTAGGCAGGCCATATATATATATATATATATTTTTTTTTTTTTTTTTCTTTTTTACCTGCATAATTGCAGGAAGGAAAATCACTTGATTCCCCCATCTAAACTGACTGTGTTAACTGACTAGGGCAGGAATCAGGGAAGCTTACTTATATTACTTAGGTGTGTCCAGAAGCCTAGGGGCTTGTGGGAACCCAAAGGAATTTTGGATCCTTCCTATGGAGCTATTGTGTTCTCCCAATGTATGTGTGGGGGTGGGGTAGGGTGTGGGGGTGAGCGCAGGGAGCTGTACCTGGCGAAAGAGCACAATGATTACTGCTAGCGGCTATAACTGCTGACAATATTAACATGCTGAAAAAAAATATGCTGCTTGTACCCAAGTCGATCGATTGATCAACTTGGTTACAATCAGCCTGCCCATAGATGGATTGAATCTGAACCAGTCGAGATGGAACCATTGATGGCCAGCTTTACTGTATCTGGAAACTGCTCTTAACCAGCTCCTGTTATTATAATAGTCAAATTGCCTGTTAATTTTTTTGTTTGCCACTTATTGAATACCCCATTACCTTCCTGTTTGCATAGTCGTTCATGCAGTAAACTTCAAGTAACACATTGCTATTTGTCTAATCATTTGGTGGATACGTCTACATTACAGATGTTGAGATATAATATTGTTGTTTTAGGCAGTAATACATAGCCACATGTTATCAGCCACTGAGAGGTCAAGAAAAATCACTAAGCAGAAATGTCCCTGTCTATGAAAGCACACACATGAGATCGGTATTATTTGTTACCTGCAGACAATATTGTGCACAAATCTGTAGTACCCCACAGGGTCTGCGATCTCCTTACCTTTTGGTCTTCAGTCCCTCGTCCTCTTCTACTTTACCACAATCTGCAGAGTTTGCTTCAATGCCACCTCTTGCATTGTTGCTCCTCATCTCCTGTAGATTTATTTTGCTGTTACTGTGGATTCTTCAGAAATGATTTCAGGGAGTTAAGCTGTTTTTGGTGAATTTCCAACAGGCGATCTCCCTGTGTTTCTTTCTGTGTAAATTCTTCTCCCTCTTTCAGTTTCCTGGCTGCCTTCTCTGTGGTGTTTCTGTTTATCGTCATCTGCCATAACCAGCTGAAATACTTTCACTTTCATCCTGAAAGAAAGAGCTGTTTGTAAGGTCCAAAAAAACATTTTAAACCATTAAATGTTGCTTCACTACTGAGGACTGTTTGACCAGGAAAGTGACTTACTGCAAGCTCATTCAAGCAATTTAGGACAGAAATATTGGACAGCCCTTAGCCCAGAATAGTCAGAAATATTAGGGTACACAAGCTACTAGGCATGCTCAAGTCTGTTGGGATGGACTAGATCACTTTAAATGCCATCCCCTGTCTTACCCCCACTTCCGATCTGAATCTCTCCATGGTATGTCATGATTTTTATTTTAATATATTATTACATTTATCCTTTTCCCAAAGTCTTCTGGGCTTTTATATACCAGGTCTACTTACTCTCCATCTTTCTCCCAGTGGTAGTCTTCCATGTTGAGAGATTGGCATGACTCTCATAAGTGACAACATTTCAAAAAAAAGTTCAGGGACACCTTTTTTTTGCTGTACATCTATCAAATTATTATAGGTGGAGAATGTACTTTAATTAGGGGAGGAGCATTCATATTAATATGGGCAAGGTTCTACAAGAGGCACATTGCTAACCTAAGTGCATACTTTAACCATATCTATGAGCATGTAGTTGTCATGGATAAAGAAAAAAAAAGTAAAGAAAAACAGCAAAAACATTGGTGATAACAGTAAACATGTAAAGTACATTGATCTCAGGTCTTAAAGAAGGACCCCATACATGAACTATGTGAACAATCAGACATTCTGCACAGTAAAAGAATGATGGGAAAACAACACATACCTAAAAATGAAGCAAGAAAGCTGTCTCATGTAGTATGTGCAAGAGAGGAGTGTGGAGGGCATGGCAGGGGGCAATATGCACAGGAGAGGAGTGTGGAGGGTATGACAGTGGGCAGTATGTACAGGAGAGGAGTGTGGAGGTATGACAGTGATCGGTATTTAAAGGAGAGGAGTGTGGGGGATATGACAGTGATAAGTATGTACAGGAGAGGAGTGTGGAGGGTATGACAGTGATCGGTATGTACAGGAGAGGAGTGTGGAGGATATGACAGTGATCAGTATGTACAGGAGAGGAGTGTGGAGGTATGCCAATGATCGGTATGTACAGGAGAGGAGTGTGGAGGTATGACAGTGATCGGTATATACAGGAGAGGAGAGTGGAGGGTATGACAGTGATCGGTATGTACAGGAGAGGAGTGTGGAGGGTATGACAGTGATCAGTATGTGCAGGAGAGGAGTGTGGGGGTATGACAGTGATCGGTATGTACAGGAGAGGAGTGTGGAGGGTATGACAGTGGGCAGTATGTACAGGAGGAGTGTGGAGGGTATGACAGTGATCAGTATGTACAGGAGAGGAGTGTGGGGGGTATGACAGTGATCAGTATGTACAGGAGGGAGTGTGGGGGTATGACAGTGATCGGTATGTACAGGAGAGGAGTGTGGGGGGGGTATGACAGTGATTGGTATGTACAGGAGAGGAGTGTGGAGGTATATGACAGTGATCGGTATGTACAGGAGAGGAGTGTGGAGGTATGACAGTGATCGGTTAGTACAGGAGAGGAGTGTGTGGGGGTATGACAGTGATCGGTATGTACAGGAGAGGAGTGTGGAGGGTATGACAGTGATCGGTATGTACAGGAGAGGAGTGTGTAGGGTGTTACAGTGATCAATATGTACAGGAGAGGAGTGTGGAGGGTATGACAGTGAGAAGTATGTACAGGAGAGGAGTGTGGGGGGTATGACAATGTGATCAGTATGCACAGAGAGAGGAGTGCGGAGGTATGACAGTGATCGGTATGTACAGGAGAGGAGTGTGGATGGTATGACAGTGAGCAGGGTATGTACAGGAGAGGAGTGTGGAGGGTATGACAGTGATCAGTATGTAAACAGAGAGGAGTGTGGAGGTTATGACAGTGATCGGTATGTACAGGAGAGGAGTGTGGAGAGTATGACAGTGATCAGTATGTATGTACAGGAGGAGTGTGGTGGTATGATGACAGTGATCGTATGTACAGGAGAGGAGTGTGGAGGGGTATAACAGTGATCGGTATGTACAGGAGAGGAGTGTGGGGGTATGACAGTGATCGGTATGTACAGGAGAGGAGTGTGGAGGTATGACAGTGATCGGTATGTACAGGAGAGGAGTGTGGGGGTATGACAGTGATCGGTATGTACAGGAGAGGAGTGTGGAGGTATGACAGTGATCGGTATGTACAGGAGAGGAGTGTGGGGTATGACAGTGATCGGTATGTACAGGAGAGGAGTGTGGAGGTATGATGACAGTGATCGGTATGTACAGGAGAGGAGTGTGGAGGTATGACAGTGATCGGTATGTACAGGAGAGGAGTGGTGGGGGGTATGACAGTGATCGGTATGTACAGGAGAGGAGTGTGGAGGTATGACAGTGATCGGTATGTACAGGAGAGGAGTGTGGAGGTATGACAGTGATCGGTATGTACAGGAGAGGAGTGTGGAGGGTATGACAGTGATCAGTATTACAGGAGGAGTGTGGAGGGTATGACAGTGATCAGTATGTACAGGAGAGGATGTGGAGGTATGACAGTGATCGGTATGTACAGGAGAGGAGTGTGGAGGTATGACAGTGATCGGTATGTACAGGAGAGGAGTGTGGAGGGTATGACAGTGATCGGTATATGTACAGGAGAGAGAGTGTGGGGAGGTATGACAGTGATCGGTATGTACAGGAGAGGAGTGTGGAGGTATGACAGTGATCGGTATGTACAGGAGAGGAGTGTGGAGGTATGACAGTGATCGGTATGTACAGGAGAGGAGTGTGGAGGAGGTATGACAGTGATCAGTATGTGCAGGAGAGGAGTGTGGGGGTATGACAGTGATCGGTATGTACAGGAGAGGAGTGTGGGGGTATGACAGTGATCAGTATGTACAAGAGAGGAGTGTGTGGAGGGGGTATGACAGTGATCAGTATGTACAGGAGAGGAGTGTGGGGGGTATGACAGTGATCAGTATGTACAGGAGAGGAGAGTGTGGGGGTATGACAGTGATCGGTATGTACAGGAGAGGAGTGTGGGGGGTATGACAGTGATCGGTTAGTACAGGAGAGGAGTGTGGGGGTATGACAGTGATCGGTATGTGTACAGAGAGAGGAGTGGGGGTATGACAGTGATCGGTATGTACAGGAGAGGAGTGTGGGGGGTATGACAGTGATCGGTATGTACAGGAGAGGAGTGTGGAGGATATGACAGTGATCGGTATGTACAGGAGAGGAGTGTGGAGGTATGACAGTGATGGTATCGGTATGTACAGGAGAGGAGTGTGGAGGGTATGACAGTGATCGGTATGTACAGGAGAGGAGTGTGGAGGGTATGACAGTGATCGGTATGTACAGGAGAGGAGTGTGTAGGGTGTTACAGTGATCAATATGTACAGGAGAGGAGTGTGGAGGGTATGACAGTGAGGTATGTGTACAGGAGAGGAGTGTGGGGGTATGACAATGATGATCGGTATGTACAGGAGAGGAGTGCGGAGGTATGACAGTGATCGGTATGTACAGGAGAGGAGTGTGGATGTATGACAGTGACAGTGATCGTATGTACAGGAGAGGAGTGTGGGAGGGTATGACAGTGATCGGTATGTACAGGAGAGTGTGTGGGGTATGACAGTGATCAGTATGTACAGGAGAGGAGTGTGGGGGGTATGACAGTGATCAGTATGTACAGGAGAGGAGAGTGGAGGTATAACAGCGATCGGTATGTACAGGAGAGGAGTATGGAGGGTATGACAGTGATCGGTATGTACAGGAGAGGAGTGAGGGGTATGACAGTGATCGGTATGTACAGGAGAGGAGTGTGGGGGGTATGACAGTGATCAGTATGTACAGGAGAGGAGTGTGGAGGTATGACAGTGATCGGTATGTACAGGAGAGGAGTGTGGAGGGTTCGGTATGACAGTGATCAGGTATGTACAGGAGAGGAGTGTGGAGGTATGACAGTGATCAGTATGTACAGGAGAGGAGTGTGGAGGGTATGACAGTGATCGGTATGTACAGGAGAGGAGTGTGGGGGGTATGACAGTGATCGGTATGTACAGGAGAGGAGTGTGGGAGGTATGACAGTGATCAGTATGTACAGGAGAGGAGTGTGGAGGGTATGACAGTGATCGGTATGTACAGGAGAGGAGTGTGGAGGGTATGACAGTGATCGGTATGTACAGGAGAGGAGTGTGGGGGTATGACAGTGATCAGTATGTACAGGAGAGGAGTGTGGAGGGTATGACAGTGATCGGTATGTACACAGGAGAGGAGTGTACAGAGGTATGACAGTGATCGGTATGTACAGGAGAGGAGTGTGGGGGGTATGACAGTGATCGGTATGTACAGGAGAGGAGTGTGTGGAGGTATGACAGTGATCGGTATGTACAGGAGAGGAGTGTGGAGGGTATGACAGTGATCGGTATGTACAGGAGAGGAGTGTGGAGGTATGACAGTGATCGGTATGTACAGGAGAGGAGTGTGGGGTATGACAGTGATCGGTATGTACAGGAGAGGAGTGTGGAGGGGTAAACAGTGATCGGTATGTACAGGAGAGGAGTGTGGAGGTATGACAGTGATCGTATGTACAGGAGAGGAGTGTGGGGGGTATGACAGTGATCGGTATGTACAGGAGAGGAGTGTGGGGGTATGACAGTGATCAGTATGTACAGGAGAGGAGTGTGGAGGTATGACAGTGATCGGTATGTACAGGAGAGAGTGTGTGGGAGGTATGACAGTGATCGGTATGTACAGGAGAGGAGTGTGGAGGTATGACAGTGATCGTATGTACAGGAGAGGAGTGTGAGGGTAAGGTATGACAGTGGGTATGTACAGGAGAGGAGTGTGGAGGTATGACAGTGATCGGTATGTACAGGAGAGGAGTGTGGGGGGTATGACAGTGATCAGTATGTACAGGAGAGGAGTGCAGAGGGTATGACAGTGATCAGGTATGTACAGGAGAGGAGTGTGGAGGTATGCCAATGATCGGTACAGGAGAGGAGATGTGGAGGTATGACAATGATCGGTATGTACAGGAGAGGAGTGTGGGAGGTATGACAGTGATCGGTATGTACAGGAGAGGAGTGTGGAGGGTATGACAGTGATCGGTATGTACAGGAGAGGAGTGTGGGGGGTATGACAATGATTGGTATGTACAGGAGAGGAGTGCAGAGGTATGACAGTGATCAGTGTGTACAGGAGAGGAGTGTGGATGTATGACAGTGATCGGTATGTACAGGAGAGTGAGAGTGGAGGGTATGACAGTGATCGGTATGTACAGGAGAGGAGTGTGGAGGGTATGACAATGATCGGTATGTACAGGAGAGGAGTGTGGAGGGGGTATGACAGTGATTGTCCCTGTGTTTCTTTCTGGTAAAATTCTTCTCCCTCTTTCAGTTTCCTGGCTGCCTTCTCTGTGGTGTTTCTGTTTGTCATCTGCCAGTGAAATACTTTCACTTTCATCCTGAAAGAAAGAGCTGTTTGGAGGTCCAAAAAAAAAACATTTTAAACCATTAAATGTTGTTCACTACTGAGGACTGGGTTTGACCAGGAAAGTGACTTACTGCAAGCTCATTCAAGCAATTTAGGACAGAAATATTGGACAGCCCTTAGCCCAGAATAGTAAGAAAGTATTAGGGTACACAAGCTACTAGGCATGCTCAAGTCTGTTGGGATGGACTAGATCACTTTAAATGCCATCCCCTGTCTGTACCCCCACTTCCGATCTGAATCTCTCCATGGTATGTCATGATTTTTATTTTAATGTATTATTACATTTATCCTTTTCCCAAAGTCTTCTGGGGGCTTTTTATATGCCAGGTCTACTTACTCTCCATCTTTCTCCCAGTGGTAGTCTTCCATGTTGAGAGATTGGCATGACTCTCATAAGTGACAACATTATCAAAAAAAAGTTCAGGGACACCTTTTTTTTGCTGTACATCTATCAAATTATTATAGTGGGAGAATGTACTTTAATTAGGGGAGGGCATTCATATTAATATGGGCAAGGTTCTACAAGAGGGACATTGCTAACCTAAGTGCATACTTTAACCATATCTATGAGCATGTAGTTGTCATGGATAAAGAAAAAAAAGTAAAGAAAAACAGCAAAAGTACATTGGTGATAACAGTAAACATGTAAGTAGACATTGATCTCACAGGTCTTAAAGAAGGACCCCATACATGAACTATGTGAACAATCAGACATTCTGCACAGTAAAGGAATGATGGGAAAACACCACATACCTAAAAATGAAGCAAGAAAGCTGTCTCATGTAGTATGTGCAGAGAGAGGAGTGTGGAGGGTATGGCAGTGATCGGCATTATGTACAGGAGAGGAGTGTGGAGGTATGACAGGGGGCAATATGTACAGGAGAGGAGTGTGGGGGGGAGGTATGACAGTGGTGACATTATGTACAGGAGAGGAGTGTGGGAGGTATGACAGTGATCAGTATGTACAGGAGAGGATGTGTGGAGGGTATGACAGGGGGCATTATGTACAGGAGAGGAGTGTGGAGGGTATGGCAGGGGGCATTATGTACAGGAGAGGAGTGTGGAGGGCATGGCAGGGGGCAGTATGTACAGGAGAGGAGAGTGGAGAGGTATGACAGTGATCGGTATGTAAAGGAGAGCAGTGTGGAGGGTATGACAGTGATCGGTATATATACAGGAGAGGAGTGTGGGAGGTATGACAGTGATCAGTATGTGACAGGAGAGGAGTGTGGAGGGTATGACAGTGATCAGTATGTACAGGAGAGGAGTGTGGGGATATGACAGTGATCAGTATGTACAGGAGAGGAGTGTGGAGGGTATGACAGTGATCAGTATGTACAGGAGAGGAGTGTGAATGGTATGACATTGAGCAATATGTACAGGAGAGGAGTGTGGAGGTATGACAATGTGATCGGTATGTACAGAAGAGGAGTGTGGAGGGTATGACAGTGATCAGTATGTACAGGAGAGGAGTGTGGAGGTATGACAGTGATCAGTATGTACAGGAGAGGAGTGTGGAGGGTATGACAGTGATCAGTATGTACAGGAGAGGAGAGTGGAGTGGAATGGTATGACATTGAGCAATATGTACAGGAGAGGAGAGTGGAGGTATGACAATGATCGGTATGTACAGAAGAGGAGTGGGAGGGTATGACAGTGATCAGTATGTACAGGATAGAGAGTGTGGATGGTATGACAGTGAGCAGTATGTACAGGAGAGCAGTGTGGATGGTATGACAGTGAGCAGTATGTACAGGAGAGGAGTGTGGAGGGGTATGACAGTTATCAGTATGTAAACAGGAGAGGAGTGTGGAGGTATATGACAGTGATCAGTATGTACAGGAGAGGAGTGTGGGGGGTATGACAGTGATCGGTATGTACAGGAGAGGAGTGTGTGTGAGGGTATGACAGCGATCAGTATGTACAGGAGAGGAGTGTGGAGGGTATGACAGTGATCGGTATGTACAGGAGAGGAGTGTGTGAGCGTATGACAGTGATGGTATGTACAAGAGAGGAGTGTGGAGGGTATGACAGTGATCAGTATGTACAGGAGAGGAGTGTGGAGGGTATGACAGTGGGCAGTATGTACAGGAGAGGAGTGTGGAGGGTATGACAGTGATTGGTATATTACAGGAAGGAGTGTGGAGGTATGACAGTGATCGGGCAGTATGTACAGGAGAGGAGTGTGGAGGTATGACAGTGATCAGTATGTACAGGAGAGGAGTGTGGAGAGTATGACAGTGATCAGTATATACAGGAGAGGAGTGTGGGGTGTATGACAGTGATCGGTATGTACAGGAGAGTAGTGTGGGGGGTATGACAGTGATCGGTTAGTACAGGAGAGGAGTGTGTGGGGTATGACAGTGATCGGTATGTACAAGAGAGGAGTGTGGGAGGTATGACAGTGATCAGTATGTACAGGAGAGGAGTGTGGAGGGTATGAGAGTGATCGGTATGTACAGGAGAGGAGTGTGGGGGGTATGACAGTGATCGGTATGTACAGGAGAGGAGTGTGGAGGGTATGACAGTGGGCAGTATGTACAGGAGAGGAGTGTAGAGGGTATGACAGAGGGCAGTATATACAGGAGAGGAGTGTGGGGTGTATGACAGTGATCGGTATGTACAGGAGAGGAGTGTGGGGTGTATGACAGTGATCGGTATGTACAGGAGAGTAGTGTGGGGGATCGGTATGTACAGGGAGAGTGAGTAGTGTGGGGGGTATGACAGTGATCGGTTAGTACAGGAGGAGGAGTGTGTGGGTATGACAGTGATCGGTATGTACAGGAGAGGAGTTTGGGGGGTATATGACAGTGATCGGTATGTACAGGAGAGGAGTGTGGGGGGTATGACAGTGATCGGTATGTACAGGAGAGGAGTGTGGGGGGTATGACAGTGATCGGTTAGTACAGGAGAGGAGTGTGGGGGTATGACAGTGATCGCTATGTACAAGAGAGGAGTGTGGGGGTATGACAGTGATCGGTATGTACAGGAGAGGAGTGTGGGGGGTATGACAGTGATCGGTTAGTACAGGAGAGGAGTGTGGGGGTATGACAGTGATCACTATGTACAAGAGAGGAGTGTGGGGGTATATGACAGTGATCGGTATGTACAGGAGAGGAGTGTGGGGGGTATGACAGTGATCGGTTAGTACAGGAGAGGAGTGTGGGGGTATGACAGTGATCGGTATGTACAAGATAGGAGTGTGGGGGTATGACAGTCATTGGTATGTACAGGAGAGGAGTGTGGAGGGTATGACAGTGGGCAGTATATACAGGAGAGGAGTGTGGAGGGTATATGACAGTGATCAGTATGTACAGGAGAGGAGTGTGGAGTGGATGACAGTGGACAGTATGTACAGGAGAGGAGTGTGGAGGGTATGACAGTGTCAGGGGAGGAGCTGTGGAACGGACAGGCAGGCCTAGTGGCAGGGTCCCACACTGACTGACGACAACCACCACCCACAGACCGGAGTCCCTCAGGGCGCGGAGTCTAAGTCCCAGGCTGCCCTTCACCAGGGCCCCTGATGGTGGGGATGGACTTGATGCAGCCAGGAACCAGGTCGCGGCCTCCGAGACACCCCAGCTGCGGTAATGGCCGCCGCCAATGGCGTGTAGCTGGGAAGAATCAGATCAGACAATAGCGTAGTCAGGCAGGCCAGGTCGACAACAATGGGACAAATGGTACAGAACAGTAGACAAGAATCACAGGTCACAGGCCGAGTTCAGCAACGGGAGGTCAGATCAAAGGAAAACGCAGAGTTTGGTCTAGTCACAATCCGAGTCAGATTCCAGCAGAGTCACAAGAGTATAAACAGAGCTGTTGCAACACTAACAAACAAGACACGAATGCAAAGGGCACGTTCGGACAACAGGCTTATATGTGATCAACCACACCCCTCTGGGGGATGGACCGCAGAGGCCTGAAGGCATAAAAGACTCCCACCATGCTCTGCGGAAATCCAAGATGGATGCCAGCACATGGAGCAGCATAACCTCTGGGAAAAGGTAGGACCTTGACAGTACCTC